TTGGGAGGCTGAGGTGGGTGGATCACCTGAGGTCAGGAGTTCAAGGCCAGCCTGACCACCATGGTGAAACTCTGTCTCTATTAAAAATACAAAATTAGCTGAGTGTGGTGGTGCATGCCTGTAATTCCAGCTACTTGGGAGGCTGAGTGAGGCAGGAGAATTGTTTGAACCCAGGAGGCGGAGGTTGCAGTGAGCCGAGATAGTGCCATTGCATTCCAGCCTGGGCAACAAGAGTGAACGTCCTCCTCTGCCTTACCCCTGCCCTCCAAAAAGAAAAAGTCAACAAATTAAATTGAATCAGGACTTTAAAATCTTCCCAAAAAGAATGATCCAAGCCCAGATAGTTTCTCTGATGAATCCTATCAAATATTTGAAAATTATGCCAATTCTTCACAAACTCATTCAGAACGCAACGGAAGGAATACTTCCAATTCATTCTATAAACCCAACAGCTCTTCACTGTTGAAGACAGAAAATACCATCATAAGCAAACTACAGGCCGGGCATGGTGGCTCATGCCCGTAATCCAAGCACTTTGAGAAGTTGAGGCAGGCAGATCACTTGAGGTCAGGAGTTCAAGACCAGCCTGGCCAACATGGTGAAACCCTGTCTCTACTAAAAATACTAAAAATTACCTGGATGTGGTGGCTGGTGCCTGTAGTCACAGCTTCTCAGGAGGCTGAGGCACAAGAATCACTTGAGTCTGGGAGGCAGAGGCTGCAGTGAGCCAAGATCGTGCCACTGCTCTCCAGCCAGGGCGAAAGAGTGAGACTCTGTCTCTAAATAAATGCACAAAACTACAGGTAGCTATCCATCACTAACACAGACACAGAAGTACTTAATATTTTAGCAAAATGAATCCAGTAACATGTAAAAAAGGGTTTATATGAAGGCAAAAATGGATTTTTCCTATGAACAAAAGGCTGGTTTAATATTATTCTAATATTACTATCCCACATTACTACAGTATAAACCATAAACCTCAACAGAGGCAGAAAAAAGCATTTTACAAAATCTAAAGCTTATTCACAACAAAAACTCTTAGCAAACTAGAAACAGATAAAAAATTACTCAAACTGATAAAAGGTAGCTACAAAAAACCTCACAGCCAACACTATACTTAATTATGAGACAATAAATGTTCTTCACCTATGATAAGAAGTTGCTTTTAACACTTTTATTTAACATTGTACTAGATCTTCTAGCTAATACAATATAGCAAAATGGCATTCATAAATTGTTCAACTGCAGATGATTCTACATTCAGAAAATCCCAAGAAATCCACAATAAAACAAGAAATAAAGAGAAGCAGTATCAGAGATGTAAGATCAATATAAAAATCAATTGTATTTCTGTACCCCATTAACAAAGTAACAAAAAATTTAAAAGCAATTCCATTTACAATACAAATAAAAGTAACAAAATAAGGACAAATTTAACAAAAGAAGTTCAAGACTTGTACACTGAAAATTACAAAACTATTGATGTTAAAAACGGCAAAGATAGTTAAAAAAGATAAAACGAGTAATATGCTAACTTAATGTATGGATTTAAAATTACCAATTAAATACAGTATTTATCAAAATAATTCTACATTATGCCAAAGCAAGGTTAATTCAAGAAAAATACAATTCGGTGTCAGAAAAGGCATAAGCATCAATTGGTGCTAAAAGGCACTTGATAAAATACTGTTTTGCTTCTAATTAAGAAACAGTAAAGTAAAACAATTTGAATATAATAAAGTGTTTTTCAAAAGCCAATACTCTAAACAGCAAAACACTAGAGCTCATTCAACTCAATGAAAATAGATGGGGGAGGTGGACATTACCACTAGTAAACCTTAGAGGTAGAGAATGTGACATAAATTATTGGAAAAGAAGAAATGCAACTATCACTTTAGGCAGATATCAAGTATAAATAAATAACCCAAACGATACTGAAAAGGTACTAGACTTAATAAGAAAAATTTGTAAAGTACCTAGATATAAGACAAATATTCAAATATGAACATGTTTTGTCTACACTTACCAAAAAATACCTGCAAAACGGGAATGGAAAGTAAAATTTCATTAAAAGAAAGAAAATGGTAACATATATAAGAAAAAACTGACCAGAGAAGTCCAGAACCTAAAGTAAGTAAATTATAAAATCTCACTGAAAGACACAAAACAACCCAAACAATGGCAAGGTGCAGTGGCTCACACTTATACTCCCCAAACTTCGGGAAGCTGAGGTAGACAGATTGCTTGAGCCCAGGAGTTTGAGACCAGCCTGGGCAACATGGCAAAACCCCACCTCTACAAAAAATACAAAAATTAGCCAGGTGTGGTGGTGTGTGTCTGTAGTCCCAGCTACTCAGGAAGCTGAGGCTGGAGGATCACTTGAGCCAGGGAGGTCCAGGCTGCAGTGAGCTGTGTTCATTCCACTGTACTCAACCTGGGCGACCCTGTCTCAAAAAACAAGGAAGAAAACCCAAACGAATAAAAAAACACCCCATGTAACTGTAGCCAAACATACAATCACAATAATGCCAATGCTTCTAAAATCAGCAAATAAATACAAGCAAGTCTGATAAAAATACCAAAAGACTTTTTCTAGGATTGGAAAAATATAAATCTTAAGGTTTATATGGAAAATTAAACAAGAAATGTATGAAAATGTATAATAATGGGGAAAACTGCCTAGCAGACTGAGGAATCATTTTTAAAGTAGGTTCTCATTTCCCAGGAAGGAGAAAACTTGATAATATTCATATCTGACATTGGTACAAATTAATTAAATATTGATAAAATATTATATATGAAAATGAGGGCCAGTGTTTATAAAACAGAACATAATAAACTAAGGGTATATATTTTAATTGAATATATGATAAAATAGTAATAAAAATAGCAATTATAAAAACTTTACACAAAGAATCTTTTTTTCCATAATCCTCACCACAGCCCTCAAAAACTCTACCTTTATTTTAAAGTTAAAGAAGTTGGGAGGCCGGGTGCGGTGGCTCAAGCCTGTAATCCCAGCACTTTGGGAGGCTGAGGCGGGCGGATCACGAGGTCGAGAGATCGAGACCATCCTGGTCAACATGGTGAAACCCCATCTCTACTAAAAAATACAAAAAATTAGCTGGGCATGGTGGCTCGTGCCTGTAATCCCAGCTACTCAGGAGGCTGAGGCAGGAGAATTGCCTGAACCCAGGAGGTGGAGGTTGCGGTGAGCCGAGATTGCGCCATTGCACTCCAGCCTGGGTAACAAGAGCGAAACTCCATCTCAAAAAAAAAAAAAAAAAAAAAAAAAAGAACTTGGGAGAGAGTTAAAGAACTTGCTCAAGGTCACATTTCTAATTCGTGACAAAGTAGTAAGTATTTAAATAACATAGAAGTAAGTTCAAATGAAAACAGCACATAATAGTCAAAAAAGAATTTTATATGCTAATAAAGAGAATTTTTATCCACATGTATGTTAGTCCATGTCCTCCTTAAATTGAACTATGAAATTATGTCAGTAGCCCAGTGACATAGTGAGTTGAATAAAAGGAAAAAGTATAGTGACAAGGTTTAAATTATGCATTTCCTGGCTGGGTGCAGTGGCTCACGCTTGTAATCCCAGTATTTTGGAAGGCCAAGGCAGGTAGATTATAAGGTCAGGAGTTTGAGACCAGCCTGTCCAAGATGGTGAAACCCTGCTTCTACTAAAAAATATAAAAATTAGCCATGTGTGGTGGCGCATGCCTGTAGTCCTAGCTACTCAGGAGGCTGAGACAGAAGAATCACTTGAACCTGGGAGGTAGAGGTTGCAGTGAGCCATTTGTGCTACTGCACACTCCAGCCTGGGCGACAGTAAGACTCTGTCTCAAAAAAATAAAAAGTATGCATTTCTTTTTTTTTTTTTTTTTCCTGAGATGGAGTCATGCTATGTCTCCCAGGCTGGAGTGCACGCCTCTTGGCCTCCCTGGTTCGACCAATTCTGCTGTCTCAGACTCCTGAGTAGCTGGGATTACAGGAATGCACCACCATGCCCAGCTAATTTGTGTATTTTTAGTAGAGACAGGGTTTTACCACATTGGTCAGGCTGGTCTCAAACTCCTGACCTCATGATCCGCCTGCCTTGGTCCCCCAAAATGCTGTAATTACAGGCGTGAGCCACTGCACCTGGCCTCATTTCCTTTTTAAAAGTTGCTATTGTCCCCATCATATGGTACTAGCTTGTATTTTTGTAAAAGCCTAATATTATTACTAAAAAATAAGGTGTCACCATTCAGAAGCCAAATTACAAGTATTTACTATTTTAATAAATATTCAAGGAGGAAAAATATAGAAGATTAAAAAATTAAGGTAGGGTGACCATATGATTTATATTCCAGCTCATGACACTTTTGTGAATAAAAGAGGGCACTAATAGTAATTACAATGGTACAAATGGTGTAAACTAAAACTGTCCCAGACAAATACAGACATATGGTCATCCTAGTCAAGAAAAATAATTTACCAAATGATTATCTGGTATGATAATAATAGCAAACATTTATTTGAATACTTACTACGTTAGCAGGAACTCCATGATACAAGACTGCCTTATTCACCGTCCCTAGATGAGTGCTTTGTGCATAGTAGGCAATCAATAAAAAATTGTTGAAAGAATAGTTTGCCTTAAAAAAAGTGTTCCTGTGTCTATACAATATAGCTTATTAATAGCCTGTTTGTTGTTACAACCTTAAGTTTGTGAATAAGTAGTAAGCATTAATTCATGCACATAAATACAAAGAAAAACTACAAAAATTAACAAGTTCATATCTATGTATTAAAGATAGGTGTCAGAATAGTACAATTGAAGTACAGCACTAAATGAGTAATAATGGCATACTGTACACTTCTAATTTAGAGCCTAATTAAAAAAACAATATTTAAACCTACAAAAGAGTTGTTTTAAACTGCTGTCCTATCTTTACCATGATACTCAACCAACACCAAAGGAAGACAAATCTGCTTTCATTTCTTACCTGCACAGCCGAAAGCCAAATGGTATCTGGAAGAGGGGCTGAATTTAACACAACACACGTTAGCCTTCGCCTCAATGCTTGCCACTGAGTTGTCTAGATTGGTGGACCACAGCTTCACTAAGGACAAAGGGCAATAAAAACAAAAGGAGAAACAAGTAATACATTAGTAAATGCCTCTGTAACTTGGAAAGTTTGCTTATTGCTCCAGAAATCTTTGTGTGCCAAAACATTTTGGTTTACTAGGACTAAAAATGTTAAAGCTGTATGCATTTGTCAATTCTCACACTACTAATAAAAACATGCCTGAAACTAAGTAATTTATAAAGAAAACAGGGAGGACTCAACAATGGCAGACGGCAAATGAGGAGCAGTCACCAGCAGTCACCTCTGACATGGTGGCAGGCAAGACAGCTTGTGCAGGGGAACTCCCATTTATAAAACCATCAGATCTCACAAGACTCATTCACTACCACAAAAAAAGTATGAGGGAAACTGCTTCACCATGATTCAATTATCTCCACCTGGCCCTGTCCTTGACACATGGGGATTATTACAATTAAAGGTGAGATCTGGGTGGGGACACAGCCAAACCATATCACCTAATGACTGAGTAACAGAATAACATTAAAACCAAGAGAGCTTAGTTTCAATGTCAAAAATGAATATAGATAAAAAGGTTGGACATGTTGGCTCATGCCTGTAATCACAGCACTTTGGGAGGCTGAGGCAGTAATCACTTGAGCTCAGGAGTTAAGAGACCAGCCTGGGAAACATGGTGAAACCCTGTCTCCACTAAAAACACAAAAGTTATCTGGGCATGGTGGCCCAGGACTGTAGTGCCAGCTACATGGGAGGCTGAGGTGGAATAATCACTTGAACCCAGGAGGCAGAGGTTGCAGTGAGCTGAGATCATGCCACCAAAAGAAAAAAAAAGAAAGAAAAAGAAAAATCCGTAACAAAAAATTTATACTGAGAGGTAACACAGATCTACAACTAAGACATAAAAGATAGGAACAACAACAAAAAAAAGTGATCTGGAGCTAGGTGGCACGTGTGTGTGTGTGTGTACTTTTTTTTTTTGAGACAGGGTCTCACTCTGTCACCCATGCTGGAGTGCAGTGGCACAATCATGGCTCACTTCAGGCAGCCTCTACCTCCCAGGCTCAGGTGACTCTCCCCACTCAGCCTCCTGGGTAGCTATGTGTGTGCCACCATGCCTAGCTATTTTTTTTTCTATTTTTTTTATAAAGATAGGGTATTTTTTTGCATTGCCAAGATTAGTCTCAAACTCCTAGGCAAACTGCCCTTAAACTTAGCTATTTAAAACAGCAAAACTTAACTATCTTACAGAGTTTTGGAGGCCAAGAATCTCAGAGCAGGTAAGCTGGGTAGTTTTGGCTCAGTCTCAACAGACCGCAGTTGAGCTGTCTGCTAGGACTCTAAACTATTAAATTACCATCTCCAAGCTCACTCAACATAACTTTTGGCATAAGGCTTCAGTTCCCCACCATGTAGGCTTGTGATGATGCAGATGGTTTCTCCCAAACCAAGTGACTGCAAAGAGACACAATGATGAAGAAAGAGGCACAATGATGAAGAAAGAGGCTACAGTGTCTTTTATAACCTAATTTTAGAAGAGACATCCACTGGTCATATAGATGAAGCCTGGAATAAGGTAGGTGAAGGGGAACTACACAATCATAGGAATACCAGGAGACAGAGATCCCTGGAGGCCATCATGGATGCTGACCAACATAAGTCTTGAACATTTCATTTAAATTCAGGAGATAATATATGTAAGTAAAGTTTTAACTTATAGGAAAGGTAACTAAGTCTTAATTTACAAATTATAAAAATAACTGCTATCATAATGCTATTTATTAATTTACAGTTACTTAATCTACTGATGAAAAAGTGGAAGCATTATGATCAGCATGAGTTTCACTAAAATTGATTTCTAAAATCTACCAAGACTTCAAAGTTGTCATTTGTGCATTAACTTATACAACTAAGAAAATTTGGACTGCAGGGCCAGGTGTGGTGGCTCATGTCTATAATCCCAGCACTTTGGGAGGCCAAGGTGGGTGGATCACTCGAGGTCAGGAGTTTGAGACTAGCCTGACCAAGACGGTGAAACCCCATCTCTATTAAAAAAATACAAAATTAGCCGGCTGTGGTGGGGCATGCCTGTAACCCCCAGCTACCTGGGAGACTGAGGCAGGAGAATTCCTTGACCCCAGGTGGTGGAGGCTGCAGTGAGCCAAGATCGTATGATTGCACTCCAGTCTAGGCAATAACAGCAAAACTCTGTTTCCAAATAAATAAATAAAATAAAAAAAGAAAATTTGGGATGAAGAAGAACCTGTAACTTCTGCTATCATTCAGTCTAAATTCTTCAAACTCATATTTGTAGAAAAATACCTTTAAAGAATGTCTTTAATTCAAAAGCAAGATTATTTATGGCAAATAATTCACAGGTTACATATTTTAAAAGGAAAATATATCTCTAAAGAAGAACCTTTAAAATGACTCATAAAATTCTCTTCTGATTAGCTGCTACATACTGATGGTTCTTTAACATGTAATGATGTGCATACATACTGGGAACTAAATTATTTTTAAAATACACTGCATATGTAGGAAAAATATCATTTATATGAACTCAGTTTTTCATGTAAGCAACAAAAACATAGCTGCTTAAAAAATTGCTCAGTTAAAAATTTACGAAATACAAAATATATAAAATAAGCAAAATATGTGTATTAAAGTGATTTAAAATATTCTCTAACTATAAAGTTATCACACTGACAATATTTTATAAGACCACCAAACAGACAAGAATAATAAATACATTTAAATAACACTAAATAATACTCTTGAGATGGGCCTAAAAGCATTTGCGACTTTTACTGCCAAGCTAAGAGAGTAAGCCAATCTCTCTCACTGTGAGTTTACTCTGGACAATATCCAAAAAACAAAAGCAACTATCTGAAGAAACTGAAAAAGTAAGCAAAAACAGTCATTTCCAGGAGAGCATTCTAAACTTAAATGAAATTCAGGGGATGAAGAGTACCATTTTCCACCCCCTCTTCTCCCTTGGCAAGCTAAAATCAGCATCTCAAGCAGCAAACACTAAGGAAAATCCCTGTGTTTCAATGGCTTCTGCAAACCAGGGTATTGGGAGTAATTTTTAAATTTCGGACTTATCCTTTTTCTCCTCCAACTTTTCCCTGTGGGTGGGCTTCAATCACAGAGCTACAGCAGTATGAGAAGCTAATACTCAAAGTAAAACTGTATATATATAAAAAGGAGCATCTGTGAAATAGAGTATGAAAAAGGAGAATCTCCATTGTATCTTTCTTATCTATTCTCTTGCTTCTTTGCCCTTGTGGCAGGACCCACTCACAGAATTCAGCAGTAGACTGGGCACCAGAGTCTCCTAAAATAAAATAACTCAACTTTATTGAAAAAGTAATCAGTAAAAGGGAGCCCTGGGAGATAAAGAGTTGAGGAGAAACCTGGAAAGAAAGTACTAGAGAAGGAGATTCTACAGTTCTACGCATTCCCTGGCACAGTCATTTCTGAGCTGTGTATGTGCAAGACGGGCGTGAAGCAGAGTAACAAATCTTTTGTGCACTGAACTACAGTTGAAAAGACCACCCAAGTCCTAACTAAGCTCTAACTGGCACGTGTATTAAGCAGACTCAAAGTACCCCAGCAAAGACTGAGAACTGAACTGATTGGTTTTTTTTTTTTTGACAAGGCAACAATCACCCAGGGAAGGCAAGACAGAACTTACGGTCTAAATCTAAGTCAACTGATCACCTATAAGAAACAAACAAACAAAAAACCCAACATTTTCCACACAATTTCAACAGGACCCAACATCTTACAATATTCAAAATGGCTAAGAGACAATCCCAAAATTATTCAACATACAAAAACCCAAAAAACTGTGAAGAATTTTCAAAGGAAAATACAATTAACAAAGGTCAGTCCTAAGGTTTAAATGAAACAGATTTTAAAGCAACTATTCTAGTTATACCTGATGGGGTAATAATAACACACTTAAAATTAATGGAGAGATAGAATTACTCAGAATACATAGAAACCATTTTTTAAAAAAATCAAATGAAAATTTTTGCAAAATGGAGATGACAGATAAAGGAATCATGAGCTAGAAGACAGAAAAATAGAAATTACCCAATCTGAAGAGAAAAAGGCCTGTGAGACAAAACAAAAAGGTCTAACACATTAATGTAATTAAAATCCCAAAGGAGAGGAAAAAGAGATTACTATTAATCATTTGATGAGTATGTGACAAAGTAGTTTTCAGAGGAATACTGACAGGGATAGTGATATTATATATTAACAAATGATTCATTCTACCAAGAAGACATAACAATCCCAAATATATTCATGCTCTTAACAAATGTATCAGATATACACACACAAAAACAGGTAACTAAACAGAGAAATAAAATCAGATTGTAACATTTCTGTCTCATAATAAAACAAGGAGACAAAAAAAAAAAAAAAAAAAAACAGCCAAGGATACAGAAAATCAGAAATATACTAGCAACAACTTTGATCTGACACTTAACTCACCAAACAGCATTTATAGTACGGTTTCTTTTCAATGCATTTGAAACATTTATCAAGGTAGTTCATATTCTGGACCATAAAATAAATAACAAATTAAAAAAATTTTAAACCATGTAAAATATGTCCTTTAATTATAAAAAGATTAAGTTATAAATCAGCAACAGAATGCTTTCTGAAACCTTTAAGGAAATTTTAAAATACTTTAAATAATCCATAGATGGAAAACAGAGTAACAAAAGAAACCAAATAAAATTTTAAACTGAATGGAAAAGCAAATATAATAATTATAAAAATAATATAGCAAATACAATGGCAAATAGTAATAAAAATTGTTTTCAAATTTGTTTCAAAATTTGCTAAAGCAGTGTTTAACAGGAAATGTATAATAAAAAATGTTAGATTAAAAAAGACGGAAGTATCAATTCAATGACATAAACTTCAACTTTCAAAAAACTAGAAAGGGGAAGAAATTAAACCCAAAGCAAGAAAAAGAAACGATTAAAAGGCAAAAA